TCTCTCTCTCTCTCGACAGCTTCTATTTTCGGTAGACAGTAAATCTCCGTTCCGCTTGTTTTACCCCCGGAGGCTAACCTCTCCTTCCTTGACCAACGTTAAGCACCTTATACATTACTATCATCTGTCAGCGTTGTCTGACGATTAACGGTTGTTACCTCGAAGCGAGTTATCTCGCGATGCAACCAGACGCCCGCTGACGCTCGGGAATGAATCGGGTTTCTGCTCGTCGCAACGCTCGAGCATTCGCTAATGACGACGTTTTCCTCCGAGAATTTATAATACAACGCGCAGACATGATGATAAAGATATCCGTATCGGGACAAGCATCGCAGTCTGTAAATCACTGGCCAGTGATACATCTAACGTAATATCGGCATAATATCTAGTTTTGTAAATCGATGCAAAACCGCCTACCACAAGAATTCAGTATCCGGAAATAGATTAAAATGCATTGAAAATTTCTAATCCATTTTTAATTCATTTTAATACATTTTTTGGATTGAAAGGATAGGAAGCACTCTGTTTCAATCCCAATATTTTATAGATTAAACGGATGCATAGCTCGTGTAATCTTTTTTAGATTGGCAGCATAGGAATCTCGTAGTTTCAATCTCACTTCATGGATTAAAGAATTAATTTAAATGGATTCAAAGAATTCTTAAACTTTAATTGAGAGTGGAAATGGATTAAAAAAATCTAGAATTTGGATTCGGCAATGACCACACAAATTCATTTTTATCCATTTCAATCCAATTTCCGTTTGCTGGGAAGTCACGCTTCCGCGAGACAATAATCACGATCCATCGCTCGATCGATCGTTCGATTTCAAATTTTTTTACACATCCCCCATTTCCTCCGTTGTTCGCAGCTTGAACGGCGAAGATGAAGACGCTCTGCCGATCGACTCGGTGGAGGATCACCAGACGCGAATAACCTCGGCGCGACCCAGCACGACCAGCTCGACCAGCACGTCGACCACGTCTCGACCCGGCAAACCGTCCACCACAGCCGCCAGCGGTTCCTTCCAGCATCCGGCCGGCTATCCGCAGCACTATCAACCACAGCCGCCATTCCCGCAGGTGCACACGAGCCAGTCCAAGTCGTTGTACGACGACAAGAACGGCGGCTACCATCACCAGTACATCTTCCACAATGGCGGCGAGCGCGCCAGCAATCAGGCCACGTCGTATCAATTGTTCAGCAATCAAGGCGCTGTAAGCTCGACCACCGTTCCACCAGCGTCTCCGCCTCCACCGTCCCCGCCGCAGATCCACCAGATTAGATACAGTTCGACGGTAGGCCCGCCGCCGCAAATCATTCATAACGAACCGTCGACCGTGACGCCGCTATTCCACGCGACGTCGTCCACGATTCAGACGTTGCTTAACAGCAACGCGAATAGCCCGGCCTTGATCAACCCCATCTTTCATAATCACGGGATCGCGAGCACCACCGAACAGTTCACCGTCCACAGCAACAATCCGCGAGAGACTACCGATTATCGCGATGACAACGATCAGGAGCAGGATATAAGGACGTTGGAGGCGATACAACCGGCCAACAAAGGCAAGGTACACGCAGGATATTTAATCACGTAAAAGGAGTATGCAAAATTGGGACAATTTTATAGTATGCCAATCGTCATGAAACTTGGTAAACATAGCGTGAAATAAAATATGAAGAAATCTAACAAAAATCGAATGAATAAATGAGTGGATCAAAAATCAGATGATATGGATCGTGGCAGCAATGCCCATTTGTCACTCATACGATCATACTTTGTCAATGGAATAACATTGTTCATGAATGACTCTTTATAACATAGCAGCTTTGTTGGATACATGAATGAAAAATATGCCTAGTTCATACAATTTGATAAAATGGACGATTAATGATTAGCAGGATTTTATCCATTTTCTTTCTTTATGTCGATATTCACTTCTTCATAATTTTTAGGAGAATGAAAAAAATGTGAAGAGACTGAGGAAACTGAAAACTTCAAAATAATCAATCTGCGAGTTCTGAAAAGAACTTTTTGGTACAACAGAAGATCGGGAAATAGTATGATGGATCGATGATGGTAACTGAAGATTACCGCACTTGTACAAATTTAGTCTGCCAATTTAATTGCCAATGATTGTTTAGTGGACTATTTATAAACAACATTATTCCATTGCCAAAGTGAGATTGTATGAGTGACAAGTAGGCACTGCTGCCATACGATCCGTCTCAGATTCATTTTCTAGTTTTTAACCAGGATCCACTCGTTTAGTCATTCAATTTTGATTAGATTTCTTCATATTACTTTATTATATCTGTCATACTATATCAAGTTTCACGATGATTGCTTTTGTATCACAAAATTTTCCCAATTTTGCATATTCCTTTATAATAATGATATATACAAACAATTAGGCATGCAATTACTTATTTTAATATTTAAGTCTCGACTTGAATTAAATTTAGCGAAATTTATTTTGATAGAAATGTGACAAAAATGTGATACACCTCTCTTTTTTATCTGTAATATTAGATTTCTAAGCTGGCGATATCTCCGTTACCGAGCCAGCAAGAGACCTTATCCCGAACGGTACAGACGAAGACGAGTCAAACGTCACAACAGCAACAACAGCAACAACAGAGAATACCCGGCAATTTTCTACCAACTCCGACCACCGTCGAAACAACCGTCAGATCGTTCTATCCGACACCGAGGTCTTCGCCGAAGCCCTTGCAAATGTCGCAGTCGGTCACTCACCAGGTTTCCCAACACATCCATGTGTCACCGAGCGTGACGGTGCCGCAGCTCAAACATCATCAGATCACCATCAATTTGCCACCGCCGGATATTCAGAGAATTGTGCAGAATCCATCACCTTTGCTACCATCACAATCCCGAGTTATCGTCACAGCGAAGGCGAGCGTGAGCGACGAGTCCGGTAGGCCCCTAAACACTACGCAACTGGTGACATTGCCGTTGCCAACGATACCGGCCAGCTACGACGACTATAAAGAAGGCGATGAATCATTCGATCCTTTTTATCGCGATGTTCCGAAAATTCGCAAAAATCGCCAAGCCACAACGGAAAAAATAAAAGTTTTGCGGAAGAAACGGTCGCTCGATCAACCCTTCCACTTTATTTATGGGGTGGCCAATGATCAAAGCAGAAATTTCAAAGTGATAGAGAAGAGTGAATTACCTCAGAATGAAAATAACGCGATGAGAAGAGCACATGCCGAAGTTGATTACCGGACTATTAAAGACAGTTTAATCAAATTTAAAGATGTTTTATTCAGCAACGAAGAAAACGATGATTCTTTCCGTAAAAGTGCTGAAGAAGTTAAAAATAATACCGAAAGCGTTGTGAAAGATGGCGAAATTTTTGATAAAACTCTTGTAAAGCAGGAGAAAGACAATGCGATAAAAAGATATGATTTAAGAGACTTGAGCACAGAAGCATCAGAATATTTGAATCTAAATAAAAATGAGGATAAAGATGAGGAAATGAGTCGCGCAGATTTCTTTTCAAATGTCAAAGTTAACACTGAAAATAAAGAAAAATCTCTCAAAGAATTAGAAATTAACCTCGAATCTACGACTCTTCGCCCTCGAAAAGACGAATCTCGAGGAGACGTTATAGACGTAATAATACTCGATTCCGACAATGATTTCAAAGTGAAAGCCGCATCTAAAGCAAAGACTGACGCGCCTATCGAGATTATCATCGAGGAGGAAACGAAATCTGGCACGCAAGACGCGTCGAAGACTAACGAGAAAGTTGCACAGAAGGGACACATCGCGGGATACCTGACAAAAGATGAATCAAACAAGCAATTGAATTCCGTCGCCGGCGAGAGAAGACAACCGACGGTTCCGCATGAGACGATCAAGCGAAAGAGTGCCAAGGATTCCGGAGAACGAAAGTCTGGTTCGAGGCGGAAGGGCTTAAGATCTAGGTCGTCGAAGAGGCGCATCTCTTCGAGAATAAAACAGCAAAGAACGGATAATGTCGAAGCGGCAGAAACAATTCAGTCAGGAAAAGATGTGGAAGAATTGCCTATTACCGAAAAAACGATTCGTACTATTGTTATTACTACTGTTGGTACTACTACTACTACTACTACTACTACATCTACTACTCCTATTCCTCTTCCTCATCCTCCTTCTACTACTACTACTACTACTACTCCTCCTTCTACTACTACAACTACAACTACTATTTCTACTCCTACTACTACTATTCCTACTACTACTACGACTACTACTACTACAACTACTACTATTACTACTCCTACTACTACTACATCTACCACTACCATGACCCCATCCGTTGCACTTTTGGATGTTGCGGAGCAAATCGATAGCCACATTTTCGGTGACAATTTAGAATCACAAACTTTTAAAGAACTAGGCACGAGGGCGATCGGTCAACGTGACGCAATATATTCGAAGAGTTTGCAAGATGGCAAAAGCTACCACGCCGGCAAGAATAAGGAGATAGAACGATCGTTCGAACATCAGATTGTAGATAATCGCGCGATAGATTCAGAACTACGCGTTGATAAAAGGGAGGACAGGAAACGGCAAACGGAATCGACGAATTACACGCAAAATGACGAAAAGGATGCGACCTTCATTGAAAATCCTCGAAGTGTAGAAGAAGAAGCCGAATTGACGGAAGTCACGCGTGTATCCGAAGAAGAAAAATTTTCCAATGAACAATCAGACGATGATTTTAATGCGAATAACGGAGAATTCGAAGAAAACTTGCAAGACGAAGTTGTGACTTCTCATGAACTCAACTCGGAGCTAGAAGAATCTTATCCCGAAAATGCAAATGAGAAATCAGGCACCGATGTTTTAGATGAAGTGCAACGTTCAACTACAAGATACAGCGAAGAAGTGGAAGCTTCCGAGGAATTGAACGAATATCAGGACATAACGGAATCATCCGCAGAAAATACACGTAACATTCAAGAGGATTACAAGGAATCAGAAAGTACTGAGAGTTCTATAACGCTCGCGGATTACACGAATTCTGAGGAATACACCGATTCCCAAGAGGACGTTGCGGCCTCGACCGAGGATGCCGGAGGCAGTACCGAAGGTGTTCTAAAATTTACAGATGAATTATCGAAATCAGATGACGAGGAAGATGCGGAGACGACAGAGGAGACATCAGCATCCGATGAAAGCAATGCACACGATTATATCGACGATAATTATGAACCGGAGAATTACAAGGAAATGGAAACCACGGTAGAACCAAACGATTTCGAGAAAAACGAAGAGAAAGACGATGAAGAGAAAAAGGATACGACGATAAAAGAGCTTGATTATACGACTGAAACAACGCAACGGATCGATGACAGTGCTGAAGCAGAAACGCAAACTGAGTATGCGGTGGGTGTTACAAAGATTGAGAATCTTCATGAAATTGCAAGTTTAACTACGACTTCATCAAGCACTACGACGTCATCGACCACATCGACGACATCGAGCACATCGACTACGACTACGACTACCACTCCTCGACCAAAAATTACTCGTCGACCAACGACTACCACTACCATTCGTCCACCGAAACTCTTTAAGCCTACCGGAAATAGAAGGATTTATGCTTACATTCCTCCTACGACAACTCCAAATTCGGTCGTGATTAAACCGAGATTAGGCCTGTACAATCCGAAACCGGCGAAACCGCCCAAATCGTACAACGAGTTGGCACCAAAGCCGATAATTAGGAAGCTTACTTTATCGCGAAAACCATCTATCACCACTGCAGCTACTACTACTATTATTACTACCACTATGGACAAATTAAATACGGAAAATTTAGAAATATCGACGGAGCCAGTGACGATGACGATGATGACAGAAGTAACAAAAGCAATGGATACGACGACAATGACACCGACAATGGCGCCGGAAACGACGGTAACGGAGGCGACGACGGCAGCGACGACAACATCGACAATGATGACAGAAACGACGGAAACAATAACAACAGCGGCGACAACGACAACGCCAGCAACGACGTCAGCGGTAGAATCTGGTAGAAGTGAAGAGAACGTCCTTGAAACTAAATTGGAAGCAAACGATCATATATTCTTCGATCCTTCAAAGAATGATCAAAAAGACAAGGAAGATCAACTTCCGAGTCCATCTGAACAGAACACTTCAGCCAACTCTTCAAAGAGCACTGATTCGGCAATCACGATCAAGACGATCGAAACTTTCACCCCTTACCCTCTGTCCAAATTATCTACCCTCGAATCTTCTGCAGAGCGGACAACAAAGATGACGATGGATGTTAATCTTCAAGACACGACGGAAGAGAGCGACGAAATTCTCACGACGACTGTCTCGCCGACGACGTTACCGTTCAAAAAGACGTACGAATATGCCGAGATCACTTCGAGTACCGAAAAGTATCTTGAAGCAGCGAAAACTTCCACGACAACTTCCACTTTCGAAGTATATCCAGAGGATATCGTAGAGACCACTTCGGTCTCTTCAATTCCTCCGGTTCCCGAACGCGCGACACCGGTCTCCATCTTGACGACCGTCTCGCCTAAAGCGGAGGACACCGATTCCGTCACGTCGACGGGAGCCGTAATCGTCAGACCAAACGGCCGGAAGTCCGTAATTATGCGGAAGCACGCGAGCTTCAATTGCCTGGAGAAAGAGATGTATCGCTTCTACGGCGACACCAGGGACTGTCGATTGTTCCACTATTGCTCGCCCGGCTTCACCTCGCGGCAGGTGCTGGACTTCCGGTTCGTGTGCGAGGAGGGCACGACGTTCGACGAGGTGACGCAGAGCTGTCGTCACGACGTGCCTAACCGGAAGTGCCGGAACCGCTCCTGGTGAGAACGTCCCCCTGGAAAGGGAGACGTTCTCCGCCGTGTGTGTGTTTTCTCCGAATCTCGTGTTTCCTCAATTCCGTTGATTTTGGTAATTCGTGAATCCTCTAGGACTCCTTAGTATATTTATATTTTCTTTCGTTTTTTTTTCTTTTTAACATGCAATACGCAAGAATATCCCGAAGAAGAAGAGGTCTCCCTCCTTCTCTTAAGCCCATTGCCATAGCGCCTCGCGCTGGATTCACACTTATTAAAGTTAATGCTATCCGATCGACCCGCACGTCGTCGATCGGATCAGAGAGGGAAGCGAGGAGGCATATCTAAATTAGAAGAAAAGTCGCACCTATCGTTAGCATTAAGTGAGAGAGCGAAGAAGTCGGTTCCTACGTTGTTCTCGAAGCAAATGTTGGCACGAGAGACATTAAGCGGAGAGACATTAATTGCGCGACTAAAGCGATTTTAACCGCGATTAATCGCTCTTTGTGCGAATAATTCAGAAGCGCGAAACGTGAGTTTCTGAACATTGCCGAGTATTGCCGAAGAAAATTATATATTCTTCATGGTTTATCCGTGTTCTTGGCGTCTTGCTCGCATGCAGCGCGATAACAAAATTGTTAAATAATTCCGTCTTTTAATTGAATAAATAATTTTATTGAGATAAAGTCGAATATATTTTTGATAAAAAATATTTTACGACTAATCATTGTACTCACTAAATTAAAAATAGTAATAGTCAACTAAAAATAGTATTTTTGATAGAAGAGTCTTCCTAAAATTTCGTGTAAAATATCTAGGGCAAAGAATTTCGAACCTTTATTTTTTACATGTGTTTAAATAATTTTAATTATCGTGTACATATCGGAGTATATTAACCGAATATCGTAGGCAAAGACGATCGTATCGTTTATTGTTATACGTCGAATTAATACGTTATGGCGGGTATCGCAAGTGCAATTAGATGAAATATCATTGCTCAAACATTTAGATACAAAGGTAGCTCGATGAAACGTAGATATCTCGACGTAACGAACGTGTAAGATGTAATCGTCGATTTAATCGGTGCATTATAACGACATGTGAGTGAGCTGAAAGAAGAAGGACGGCTTACATTTTACATAATGGTTTACATAATGTTTGGTACATACAATTACACATTGCATTTTACTGTCAAGCGTAACCTGCAGCACACCTGAATGTAGCATAATGCCGATTAAATGATTCGTGTTACCTCTCGTAAATGCTCTTAATTTCCTACTACTAATTAGCGCGCTTTCATTACCGAGCGCCTCTTAAGTCAG